GGGTTAAGGAGTTCCTCAAAGTACTCCCTCCATCGCTGAAGAATGTCATCATCCTTGGTAAGAGGGTGTCTAGATCTTTCCCTCAAGACTCTGAGACTGGCCGTCTTTTCATCTCGGAGCCGGCGGATGGTCTGCCAGAATACTTTGTTTGCCGTGTGGAAATTCGAATTCGAAAAATCATCTGCAACATTTAAGAAACTAAATTCTTTGCGTTCCATTGCCTGGAAATTAGCGCTGTTTCGCATCCGTTTTTTCTGAATGGATTAAACTTTCATTTTAGAGTTTTAATATCTGTTTATCGCGTTTTATGAATGAGGTTATCATGACCTGGAAAACTCTGCTAGCGTCGGTGTTCTGTTAGTCTGTTGTTCTGTAATCATTCAGTCAGCTCTATCTTTGCAAGTATCCTCTACTTTTTCTTATGTTGCATTCGATACAGTTGTAGCAGCGCTGTTATTGTAAAAGTTTCATTTTCGTTGATTTCCATTTTATGTTACTGGAACAGTCATGGTGAAATTACCAAACATTCTTGTTTCAGCTTTCACTACCCACCGACCATGCGTTGGACTGTGGCTCAGGTATTGGCCGTGTGACAAAATGTGTTCTGTCGAAGTTTTTCGATCACATCGATTTGGTAGACGTCACTCAGAAATTTCTCGATGAGTCTGTTTCCTATTTGGGTAAAGTTAACGTGAAGGTAAATCGTCGAATCTGCTGCGGCCTGCAGGATTTAATTCCTGAACGCGGACGGTACAACATGATATGGATTCAGTGGGTAGCGTCTCATCTTATCGACTCTGATCTGGGCGCGTTTCTCAAGCGGTGTCGCGAAAGTCTGTCGGCAGACGGCGGAGTCGTGGTGTTGAAGGAAAATATCTCGAGGGACTTGGAACAAGATTTTGATGAACTCGATCATTCATGGACGAGATCGCGCCAGTGCTTCCTTAATCTTTTCCGCGACAATGACTTGCAGTTGGTTAGCGAGCATAAGCAGCGAAATTTTCCGCAGTCGATCTACGAAGTTCGTATGTTTGCTGTTCAGTGATGTTTGTCTGTACAAGCGATGGCGAGGTAACCTCGTTTTTGACCATAGAATTATGGTGAATGTACTTTGCGTTTGAAAGCGAATTAAACTGTTGTCACTCTCAGTTGTTTTTCTGTAAATGGTATCGGTCCTTGAAAAATGAGCTACGTTAATCCTGTTAATCAACGCACGTTTAATACATATTAATTTAGTGCCGTTGAAGTGATAGTTATGGTAGGTGCGGCGCCTGACTGCTACTTGGAGTTCGTCATTAATCGTCGCTGCCTTTCCGAAGTCGATGTCTCTGCAATCGAAACATTCAGAGGATATTCTTGGTGGCTTCACAGCTTTCCGGTGAAGTCGCCTGAACAAGATTTTTCTGAGTTTCGGCTGTTGGCCATGCCACAGCGTGGCTGTGACGGCTACGATCTGCTGTTAGATTTTGAGCTACAGCTTCTAGACCGAGATAATAAGGTAGAAGCCTCTTTCCTGGCACAGTATGAGCTCATCACTCCAAATTACGCGTTGACTAGTGCTCGCGAAAATATTTTCACTGTACTGCACAGAGTTTTGCAAATGAAATGCTTCAGGGATGATGCGACGCTTAAATTCAAGGTTGTTCTCTGGGTAATATTTTAATTTGTCAACAGCTTGATTTAATTTCGTTGCATTTCTAGGTGCATGATATGTTGTCCGCGAAACACGAAAATTTTTGTGATTCAACGGATCGCAGGGACTTTGCAATTCTGGTCGATAACTTGTCGTTTTACGTCGACCTTCAGTATTTGAGTAGTTTGGGGCCTGGCTATTTCCAGAATCTTAAGCTGTCTTCTACGCGTGGAATAAACCGCGCTGTGCTTTTCAGCGTTTCCGCTGAAGACTTCGATGTCCTACTGAGCGCCGTGCACCGCTACAGAAAGCCTGTCCTTACCAAGCGAACGTTTGATATCGTTGTTTGGTTGGCTCACCTGCTGGAAATGGATAAAGTGCTTCGTTGCTGTGAACAGTACTTAATGAACCTCAGGGAAATGCATCCAATACGCAAGCTGGAATATGCGATGCAGTATGGTTTTGGAATTTTGGGCATGACAATACTGTCCCAGTTACGACGTGACAAGCCGTGCGCCAGTTTAGAAACTCTTCATGACTATCTCATACTGAACAATGAAGAAATATTCGACATGCATCCTGACGTGCTCAAGGCATTGCAGATTTTTGACTCGTACGTAATCATTTAATTATATCGATATTAAATGGTTTCAACCTGTAACAAACTGCCGAAGTAAGTTGAGAAACTTTGAGCAAGTTAATGAACTGCGAAAATTTCAGAAGTGTGTGTAATGGTTTGATGATGCCGAAGCTGTCGAAACTTATGCTGTTGTTCGGTTCTCGCACTTGAAATGGTTGCAGTGTGTCTTACATAAATTTCATAGAATGAATTATTGTTTTTTATCGCATAGTTGATTCAGTGCCAACGAATAAGAATTTCCTATCATGCGTTGTTTGGTAGCACAGGGTGCTTCGAAGCACCATTGCAAGATTTCGATTCACGCAAGTCCCGTGTGGTCCATTTTAACAGCAGAGTCGTTAACCGCATAGACAAAAAATACCTATTTTATCACCGACTGCACAATGCTTTCCATAATGCTAACTTCGATGTGCACCTCGCTGAAAGCGAACAACAGCCAAAAGGTTGTGCATCAGGAAAAAATATGAATATAAAAATATGAAATGAATTTTCCCTTTGCCGGTTCTAAGATCGGATAAGAAAGGAGGATGGAGACCGTGGTGAAGTTGCTATTAAAAAGTAGCCATCTGCCTTTAATGCACTGGACTTTATCGATAGTTATGGCATAGTTTTCGCCTGCGTTATCAAGGCCTGCTCAGGCTCTTTGGCAACTGAAGCAGACTACGCGAAGGCGATCCGAACGTGCCTCGCCTACGGGCAACCGGAGGCAGTGCAGCGTAGCGACGACTGCCGGAACATGCCGAAATTAGTAGTCAGTGTCGAGGTCGTTACTCGTTCTGATCGGAAGAAACAGACAGCGCAATGCCATTATGGCATATAAGATAGGGTTCAAGAGAAACGATACGAAGGGTAAGAGCTCTGTCGGAAATTGCAGAAGGCTAGGGCTTAAATTAGTTGATGAGGCCGCAAACTGCAAGGTTGATATGAACTCTTGTTAACGAAACACCAGTGATATGGAATTCTGCATTTCTGGCGGGTGGGAGCATTTCTACTCAGGTGTCGACATCACGAGTAGCGCTCAGGCTGGCATTGGTACTCCAACAGAACTCATCCTGATTGAAAGAGTCTTGGAGAGAAATGAAAGCCTTCTTGTCCGCGTAAGAATGACAATTCTATAATTTGGTTTGCATCGGCAATAGCTCTTGCAGTGTTACAGGACTATGGCCTAATTCAGAGAGAATATGCGCCATTTGTGGATGAAGTAGAAGCTGCTCTGAATGACGTTTGAGTACAGAATTCGTCATTCTGATGGGCGATTCCCGTATATATAGTCGGAGTCATAGAAATATGGATGGAGTAACGGGAAATAACGACCGTAGCGACCTCAAAGATTAAGACATGAGGTTGTTAATGTGAATGCGAGGATCGAGTATTCTGCTCTTGCTTTGGTGATCATTCTGAAAAATGTATAAAAACATTACTTATTCTCAGCGCAAACAAACAAGTTGGTCTATAAGGGGATTGACTACTACCGAAGTTCCGGCAGTAAGGGGATTGACAGGCAGTCAGGCAGTCTATAAGGGGATTGACTACTACCGTCTCTCGCCTTCTTCAGGGTGGTCCAGGTTGATTTACACAGTTGGCTCTGTGGTCTACAGCTGCTGTAGCGCTTGGATTTAAACTACATGCTGCAGGTTAATTAGATTTTCGATAACGAAATTCATAAGGCTTGCCTGATCCGTGCGAAGTTCTTATCCTCTGTCCCGGTTGACATTTTCGTAGGATTGGATAATTATGACTCATTTGATTCATCTGTTCAGCCAGTTTCTTTCCGCACAATTGATGTGTTTCAACCAGACGGCATCCATTCGACATTGCTAATTTTAGACGTCGTGTTATTACGACCATATGGTGATCAGGCCAAATGCTTACCGTAGAGGGCCAGAGGAAACCAACACCGATATGGCGTAACCTGTTGAAGCCTGACTGGAGGGACATTGAACTGAATTCCAAGAGTGGGTAAATTGCGAATAATAAGACCTCCAAATCGGTGGCAGGATGAGCTGAAGAAGTTCGCTGGATTAAGATGGAGATAAATGGTAGAAGACAAATGCTTGTAGCAAAGTCTTGGGGATGTCTTGATTCAGAGGTGTGTCGAAAAAGTCTAATGACGGTTTTTGCACGCATCTCCTCCAACACAGAATCGACATCCTCGGGTGTTCCTCTACATTTCAAAATTTTTTACACCATTGAAGAATGCACTGAATCAAATGCAGCCTTAAAGTCCAGGGAAGTGGCAAACCAAGGTATTTGGAATCGTCGGGTATTGCTGAACAATTGAATTAGACCAGAATTAAACATGGTTTCTCTGTGGCGAGCTCCACGTGAAACTTTGCCACATACACTGTTAGCATACGGTATTGCCGTCATCGAAAATTATACCGGCCCTGTCATCGCTCCGGTTACCAAGGATCGTGCAGGCTGTTTGGGAACTGAGAAAAGTTGGCAATCAGAGCCTGTTTCACGCCTTCTGCCCTTTGGAGCGCAGCAGTACGGCAACGGAGATCGACAAGAAGACAGCCGCCAATTAGCAACGGAGCCTTGACCCGTTCTGAAAGGAGGAGACAGACAGCACAATGCCATTATAGCACATCAGATAATCTTCCACGGGTAATATGTCGACAGTAGGAGATTACAATAAGAAATTGTAACATATCCATCCTCAGGGGGAAGAGCAAGAGCTAGTTAATGAGACCGTAAGGTACCAACTCGACGGTTTGACTCTTGTCAACGAAATGCCAAGTTTCTGGAATCCTGAACCTCTGCGGATGGAGGCTGTTCAACTCAGGCGTCAACGTCACGACGAGCGCTCAGGCCAGTGTTGGTGTTCTGGTAGAAACCAAGTGGGCTGATAGAACCATTAAATGGAAGCCTTTCAGTGGAAGAGTGGCAATCCTCCTACTGAAACTACAACCATCGACCTTGTTACAGTTCAGTGCTCTTAATTTGGAGGGAGAATGTAAGTCCTTCGTTGAGGGAGTAGAATGTGCCCTGCACGAAGTGCCGACTACTGCATCCCTCATTCCAATGAGTGATTTTAAAGCGCATATAGGAGCAGAATCTGAAAAGTGGAAAGGCGTAACTGGGAAAAACGATTCTAGCGACCTCAATAATAACGGCATGAAGTTGTTGCGCTTTTGTGCAAACAACGAATTGTCTATTATGAACACCTTCTTCGAGCATCGAAAAGTGCATCAGCACACTTGGTACCGGGAAGCTTGTGCACAGAAGTCGATGATCAATTTGATACTCGTATCGTCTGACTTACGACGACGCTCTGTGGTGGATGTTCGCATTACGAAAGGTGCAGAGCTATCAACCGATGATCACCTTACTGTTGAAATTCTCCTTCATTAGTTATGGACTACCATCCGAATATCTGGCAGCAGAAGCAAGCAGAAAGGCAAATGGAAATCATTATACGAGGGATAATACAAACAACATTGCACAACAGTTTGAATCCAATGATGACCACTGACGTGGAGATAGAGGGTAATCTGCAAAGTTTCTTACTCAGGTCAGCCGCTGAACGCAATGCTTTGAAATGCGGCTCTGGATTGCTGCCTAGTAGTCAGAAACGAACTTCCCCAAGACACCAGAGGTTCAACAGGCTGTCAGCAGGAAGAAGACATCGCTCAAGAGGTGGCTTGGAAGCAAAGAGCCTCCAACTCGAATGCGGTACGAAGAAGCAAGAAGGGTAACTTACAGTCCTTGTGAATAGGTCTGGTCGCCTTTTTACAAAGGAAGAGGCAATACTTCGGCCTTAAAGAGAGTGCTTTGAGAAACTCCTTAATATCGAACAACCGCAGCTCCTTGTTTTCAAGTCGATCATCACCCATATGCTCATCTATAGTAGTGAGCCGTGTGCCATGACTGAAAAGCAGCGATCCCTGGTACAGCACCTGAAATGGACCTCCTTAACCGATTTGCTGTCGTCACGCTTCTGGAAAGGATCCGGAGTTAAGATATCCGAAAAGCTTTTGTGTACAGCTGCTGCTTCTTCGGATAGAAAAGTTATAGCTTCGATAGTTTTGATACGGGTTGCGAATGCTTTCTGAAAAGAAGGCCAAACAGCTATTATTTGCCCAATCGGATAAACCGTAGACCGCGGAGGCGGCCAAAAAGGTTCTGAGGCAGGGAATCTGAAAGAATCTGCTCCAAGCTTGTGTTTGCTTTTCGAAAGCTCAAATGGCACACGATCGGGAACATTGATGGCACTGGCTAACGCTTTTGCCTGAATGGGCGCCGAAACTTATTGGGTAACGAAAGATGATTATTCACTGTATAGTAGTAATTGCCGAAATGAGAACATTATTCCAAAGAAACGAGAAAAACCCCATTTTCGATGTGCCACTTCCTTTGAGGAATTTTTCAAATTCTTATACTCTTTCATTCCCAATGGACAGTCCAAAGATGAAATTACGGCTCAGATAGTAGCAGCAATGGGGCGGCTTTCCAGCTCTCCAAATCGTTGTGTAAACGACGGGAGCTCAGTTTGAGAACGAAGTGTCGAGTTCTACAAGTTGCAGTCCACCCCATCCTCTGTCATGGAAGCGAGATCTATGCCCTAAGAGTCGAAGATGTGAGGCCTTTGCAATACTTCCACCACTGGCGTTTACAAATCATCTTGCGAACACGAATGATCTAACATATATCTAACGTCACAATCGATGTCCGTCGCAACTCCATCCAGTTTTCTACTGTCCGGAACGGCGACTATTTTGACTAGGGCATGTGCTGAGACATCCACCAGACGAAATCGTCTCCATTTCATTGAAGGCAACACCTTTCTTTAGATGGAATCGAAAAAATGCGGATTAATTAAGACCTGGTAGAACACTGTCAGGGCTGAAGCTGAAATCCCTTCTCGACTCGATACTGCACAGGAGCAAATGGCTGAAAAAGAATTAGTTCAGTTTGGTGGTGAGCACTGCGTCTGACTGTCAGAGGCAGAAAGTAGCGATTTGCGACATCATCGGAACTGGCTAA